CCATCCATCCATCCATCCATCCACCCACCCACCCATCCATCCGTCCATCCGTCCATCCGTCCATCGATTTCAACCGTTCACACCCAAATTCCTCTAAAGACTTTATTCATTATTGCAGAGTAAATCACAAGAACCTGTCTTCACAAAAGAAGACAACTTTAAAAGTGTAAAGTGGAAGATCAGAGTACTACAAGCTTCTTTCTGCTCGACCATAAAGGTTTCAGCATTTCATTGTACTGTAATATAGTCTTCCCATGTTATTTTTACTCTTTCAGCGTGAAGTTAAAAACTTCCTTAAAATTTATTAGAAAATACCTATATTTCTCCTTTTCGTAAAACTGATATTCTAACATATGAAAATATCGTTACCATGTGTATTTTAGCTATTAGTTTATGAATAAAAACTTTTTATAATAATAAAAAGCTTATTAAGTTGATTTTATGGATAATTATATAATAAACAGAATATTACATGGGCGCGCGGAGATACGAAATTTATCTTCGAGTGTTGAAAAGATCTCTAACGATTGAGCGTACCTCTATATTACTATTATTATTATTACTATTATTATTTTCGACCAATCGTACTATCCTAACTATATAATAAACTTTTATCTAACAGATCAGAAACAGTTTTCCGTGTTTGATACTCTGATCAAAACACGCGGGATGTTGGAAGAACACGAGAGGAGCGTAGGAAACCACGACGCGTAGTCGTGGACACTGGAGAGTGGTTTCCAGCCCCTCGAGTTTTTTATCTGTTTTATAAAATAACAAACACGCCAAAAAAAACGAAAAAAAAAAATCGTATTATTCTGATGTATTTGTAGAGGATGACGCGAGCGTGTTTTGATACCCTCATCAAACATGGTTTTCGACCAATCGTAGAGCGCGTACTATCCCAATGATTTTATAAAAATCTCTCTCTTGCGTTCTACCAATCTCCGCGTGCTTTATAACTGCGCAAAGCACGCGCGCACGTTTTCTATTGAAGAATTAGAAAACGCCCGCGCGTTCTGTTCGTTATGACGCACGCGGGGGTTGGCAGAACGCGAAAGAAGTTGAGAAGCACGACGCGTAGTGAAGTACTTCTCGACACTTCTCGAGCGTTCTGTCAATACCCAAGTGCTTTATGACTGCACACAACGCAGCAAGCAAGTTTTTTTATTGCCTTGACAAAACACAAATTACAATAACCGTTGTTTTAGATAGGAATGACGAAACTGAAAGTGCGCGCGCGTGCTGTGTGCTCTTATAAAGCACGCGCTCCCAACCAATCAGAACGCGACATTTATGACAGTTATTTTATAATGCAGAAATAGAAACGCGCGGGCGTGTTGTTTGTTATAAAGCACGCAGGGGTTTGGAGAACACGAGAGAAGTGTTTAGAGACGTGTAGCGAAGCGCTTCTCGACACTTATCGAGCGTTCTGACAATCGCCAAGTGCTTCATAGCTCCACACAGCACAGCAAGCAAATTTTCTATTTCTTCAATAGAAAACGCGCGCGCGTTAATACAAATTACGGTAACCGATATCTTATATAGGAATAACCCAACTGAAAGTGCGCGCGCGTGCCTTGAGCTCTCATAAAGCACGCGCCCACAACCAATCAAATTGCGAGATTTTTAACAGTCATTTAATAATTCTTTGTTTAAAAATATTTGAAATATAACGCACGCGCTGATTCGCTGGCTACCGTTTTTATATTAGAGGACATAGACAAGCTCTCCAAAGGACAAGTTGCCCAAAAATATTTTAGAAAAGCAATATAAAATGGGTACTTATGTCTTCGTACTGAGATATAAACACTCTGGGAGCTGTAGAGCACTCGAGAAGCAAAAGAAACAATTGACTATGGCTCATGTTCCTAAGCTTGCTTCTCTCGTACTCTACAGCTCCCAGCGTGTTTATATCACAATACAGAGACACGCGCGCACGTTTCATATTCCTCAATGATCAGATAAGCGCCTTATTTTTTTCTTCAACAAAATCGAAAAACTCACCGCGAGAAACAATTCAGGATATTTATCATTTTAAAGGTCATCATAGTTTTTCCTAACTTCCATCACCACAAAGATTACCAAGGCGGCAAAAAGTAATTATCTGTCGGCGCGTTTCGCTTCCTCGTCTTCCGTTCTAGCTAAGGTGAAAAGTTATCAAAGGGAAGGGAAAAATAGCACCAATATCTATCAAAACAGATCATTTCAATCATTATCTTGCAGATACTTGACCTCCAATGGCTCGAAAACACTCATAAAACTCATAGTAGATAAGTAGTAGCTTACAAAGCCGTCTTTGTTTTTCTCGTCGGCTTTCCGCTGTTTGGTTATCAAAAAAGAGATTTCTTTGTGTAAAGATCTTTGACTCGAAATGTTCGTGAAAAATTCAAATTGCATGCGAGAGTTTTTACTTGAATTTTTACTTGAGTTCATACCATAGATTCGTGAAAAAAGTTAACTTACAAAATTGTACAAATTAGTGCAAAGTTTTGTAGGTCTACACAGTTAACTAAGATCTACTGAACTTACTCATTTGTGCAAAATTTTGCAAATTCTTACGTCTCTTCTTAGTTTTTTCACGGATATATAGTATATGCCTATTAAGTTTTGTTTTATAACTAAAATGTTGTGTCCTTCGCTAAAAAATCTAACATTGCTTTCCCGGCGCGGAAAGAAACGGCTCCTGCTTGTAATGGCGGCTGAATGGGACATACATTGTCATATCAATTATCAAAAAAAAAATTTTTTTTCGAGGCGTAGAAGCGACAAGCAACATCATTTTACTCATCACACCGTTGCTGCATTATCTTATATAGTGTTAAAAAAAACTATAGAAATATAGGGAACTCTCGTACGGGACTCTAGCTTGCGCGCTAAAGTCACTGGGAATATTTTTTTTTGTCCATTATATATGCATGTCAACGAAGCACTTATATGGATATGGCATGTAAATATAAATAGATAAGTTTTCCCAGTAAATTTGAATTGGGTAAAACATCGCGTTAGACGAATTGGTCTATACGCGTGGCCAAATACCAACGGCACACTGAAGAAGATCCATGGTCACGAATCGAAACATCTAAATTGAAGTCGGAGACAAACAATGAATCCTGACTTAAATTATACTAGTATTATTAGCGACAAAAACAACTTGTTATTGCTATTCACCGCCGCAAGTATAGTAATGGCGCAGCTCTACGAGCATCGTGTATTGATTATAGTTTTAAATTATACTAGTATTTTTAGAAAGCAAAACGACTTGTTATCGCAATTCACCGCCGCAAGCATAGCATTAATTATAGTTTTCAATTTATTAGATATGTGCGCTCAAGTCGCGACCTTCCGGTTACTGCGTCTACCGCCTACATGAGAAAATCATCTTTACCGCCCTCAGACACCCTGACATGCAGATATTGGGAAAGTTTCAAGATATGCTTGTCATTTTTGCGGCGTTAGTAACGACAACAAGTTTTTTTTGTCACAGAAAACTAGTGTATTTATTTATTTTAATTTATTTTATCTGTGGGTACACAAGGGAAGTGCCTCACCTTGCATGGGAAACTATGATATAATAGATTCTATTTATATCATGCATTAATTATTCATGAGGCAACAAGCCAATCAAATTGCTTTGATTGCCATGAGGCAACAGGCCAATCAAATTGCGTTTATTTTCATGAGGCAACAAGCCAATCAAATTGCGTTGTTTTTCATGAGGCAACAAGCCAATCAAATTGCGTTGATTTAGTCATTAGTTAAAAAAAGAAAAAGAAAAAGAACAATGATGATACAGGAAAATAGGTCTAGTCTGTCTGAAAGCCGGGGAGGGTTTGGAAATCAGCAGGGAAGAGCTGGTACTGAAGTGCAATAAGTATATGTAATAGGACTCCCTGCTGTCCAATTAAGAAATAATTGGACGAGGAAAATTCCGAGGACTAACAAAATAAGATGAGGCCGTAGGCCGAGTCCAATTTGGCAGTCAGAGGAATTTTTCGGGTCTAATTATTTCTTGATTGGGGAGCATGAAATCCTATTACCTATTAATTATATAGCTGCCTAATTAATCCCATATCAACAAGACCTATCCAATTAAGAAAATAATTGGACAGTTACCTATATGGGATTAATGAGAAGCTGTATAATAATAATGATAACTGAATATTTATAATGCGATGATATAATATGTGTTAATATGTACTAAAAATATTCTGAGAGTTTGCTGGCTATTCTACTTCTCTTCGTGGATTGATACGGGTTTTAGAACAATTTTTGGTGAATTTGCGTTGAATTGAACCCCTCCGACGACCATGATCCTTTGCGTTTAAACACTAGATTGTTTTGATGTGACGTCATAGTGAAGTAGGGCAATTATAATCTACTTAAATATTTGCCATATATCCGTTACCCAAAATCTCTTACGTTTTTTTTATTCAGCGTGCAGGATAGTTTCTCTCCAACAAGCTAAATATATAATTATTACAAAATATACTCATACACACTTACTTCATTCTGGTCAAATCCATCTGTTCGATGTTTTGACTACAGCTGTGTCGCTTTAAACCACTCACAATCTGGCTCAAGGTTCTGGCTGGATATCTTTCACCTCTGGAAAAGAATAAGAACAGCCAAATGTTATCATATGCTAGAATCCATTTTTTTCAGAGTATTTGAAGGGCTCTATCTAATAAATTCGTTACGCTGAACCAACACATTTGGTTGCATGCAGCAAGAGCAACGTCTTTCGAGCCATCGCTTGCATATACCGTTTTAAAAAGGAAAGAAAAATAAAGAAGAGCAAACGTTACCTTGCTTATCAGAAACGTCTTGTAGGAGCTTTTCAATCCAGAAGTCGAGTGAAAGTGTAGACATTTCAACCCAGTCAACACCAAGGTCTTCTATATCTTCTAGCGCGAAATATTCAATTGCAGAGCTGGGTCTTTGTTGATCCGTGATTTACGCCAGCTTTCAAATAAATTTACCGCCCATTGACTTTGATTTGTATCGAGTAGACTTGAGTACAGCTTGGCCTAATACTTCTTCTTCTTCCTCCCCAGTGGTTTTCGCTTGTCAAAATCGTTTCAGTGGTCGAACAATCTCGTCGTCGCTCGAAACCATGCTACACGCGTAACGAGGTACATCGACTGAACAAAAATTATTTTGTTTCCCAAACTTAGTTTCAAAAAGCAAATCAAAGACAGCATTCGAACGTGATAATGAACAACTCCCTAAGGGCAAAAAAGAAAAAGATTGGTAGACTTCTGGAAGGTATTAACATTGTAATAAAGCAGTAGCACAATAATGAAAAATTATCAATGAATACGCCGATGTTACCGCGGGTTGTCTAAATCGCCTGCTCCCTAAGGGCAAAACAAAGAAAGCCTCCCAAATAATTAATGTTTATGAGCACAGGGAGCCCAATTTAGATTAGAGTGAATGGTAAAAATGAATTCGGAAAAATTAAATAATTGATTTTTTTAAAATTCGAGGTCAAGATAATGCCCTCTGTAATACGAAAGAGCAAAAAAAAAAAAAAAAAAAAAAAAAAAAAAAAAAAAAAAAAAAAAAAAAAAACAAAAAAAAACAAAAAAAAAAAAAAAACCATAAAAGTGCACTAGAACATTTTTATTCGTGCACGCTCTTATGTATACATACTTTGACAAGGGAGGAAAGTATACAGTCGCCATATTTGAAAAAACAACGTACTTCAAACCATTTCTTTTTTCGCGCGCGCCTTTGTTTTCCTATACACCCTTCTCATAATGGCTGATGAACGCACGGAAACCCAGTCATCTTGCAAGGTTGAGCCAAGCTGCTCATTCAAAATAAAGGCTGTTAGCGCTAATTCAGACCAAAACAAAGGTCATTTTTTATACTTTTCTTCTTTAAAGTCATTTCATGTAATTTTATGTCTTTTATCGTGAAGTAATGACTGGGTGATCTCGTTTTCGTGCACTTGTCAGCCATTATGAGAAGGGTGTATATAATTCCCCTATGGTATCTAATGTCGATCTGATGTATATATACTCTGACAAGGGAGGAAACTACAGTCGCCACATTTGAAAAAACAACACACTTTAAACCATTCTTTTTCGCGCGCGCCTTTGTTTTCGTATATAATTCCCCTATAGTGTCTAATGTCGCTATTATGTATACAGTCAATTCAAAAAACGTTGTCGTCGACCGGCTCAAGCCTACGCGACTGGACCGAAAGGAATATGGGTGAAAATCACTGAAGCGGTTAAATATTCGTTCTGAATTAATTGTTCCCGCTAGTAATAAAATAATATTGGCGAGAAACAATCCATCAAATGCATGTCTTTGGGTTTAGGGAAAGAAAAACAAAGTAGTTATGATTCAGTTCACAATTTTGAAAAATATGAAGGCATTAAAAAAAGTCTCCTTCAACACTTCCCGCTCGCCTACGAAGGTTCGTGCTGTAAACAAGGCATAACTAGTCAGATAAAATTATGGAGTCAACTCAGCTTCAGTGATTGCTACCCAGAGTTCCTTTCGGTCCAGTCGCGTAGACTTGAGTTGGTCGACGACAACATTTTTTGAATTGACTGTATCGACTGGATACAGGGACGACCCCTCTTCCTCCCAATTCTGTTCCATATGAAAACTTCATCACAGATTAAATCTTAATCTTTTATTTCTTTTATTTCTACTATTAGTCTTGCACAAAATCGTTTAGCATATCAATCTTTCCCTGAAGATGTATTCATGCAACCAAACAACTTAAATACTACAATAATAACAAATATATGGCGTTTTATACTGTTAAATACCTGTTATACAGCGTCTAATATTATATTAATATAATTTAAATCGTATAGTCGTCCATACTTTAAATTTCTACTTTGAACTCTCTACTCGATATAGCCTTCTTAAAATATGCCGCTTTTTCAAATCATTTCTCAGTCCTTAGAGTGACCACAGTAAATCCATGAAACACTATTTACTAAATAATACAAAATAGTGCTAACTAAACAATAGAAAACAATGGAATTTGCATAAAATTGTGCTATTTAGTGATACTAAAGTTTCACGGTTATGGAGTGACCACAGTAAATCCGTGAAACTTTAGTAATACTAAATAGCACAATTTCATGCAAACTCCATTGTTTTCTATTGTTTAATTAGCACTATTTTGTACTATTTAGTAATTAGTGTTTCACGGATTAATTGTTAATGTGTCCCTTAACACATTATATTAATATACTTGCATATTGCAATGTAAGACTTATCACAAACGTCTAATCTTATTAACACGCTGTTAAGGTTCCTGTTAGTTGTGGTGGTTACCACTCCTGTAGTACTGGTCGCCAAGTACTTGTTCGTTGCTTTGGATTGTAAGGACACGCAGTCAATACAGCCTGGAGTACGCGTTGATTTGACGAGGAATTTCTGACTGTCTGTTATCGATGGGGGTCTCTGTTTAGACAAGGAATGCGTTTATAAATCATGTCATGGTTCTAATTATCAATTCTATTTSACGTTGAGGGCTTTATCATCATGAGCCTTTGTGAGCAAACACTCCTTGCGTGATTCATGACGTGTCACGGTGTCATGCGTCGCGCCCTTTAATCTTAATTTGCACTCACCTCCAAAACCAGTGGATTTCCTGTGGTTCTTGCTGTTAAGTAATAGGTGGTATTGTGTAGCCATTGAAATGTGGCTGTGAGTCCTCGACTTGAAGTAGAAAAAACGACTTTGAAATCTGTGGTTTATAAATGACGAAAAATTACTTTAAGAAGCACTTTCCTTTTGCCAAGGAAATCGGCAGAGGAGAGGAGAGGAGAGGAGAGGAGAGAAGAGCAGAGAAGAGAAGAGAAGAGAAGAG